TTCCCAGTATGTACTTTCCTGTATTTCATGGCTACAAGTTAGCAATATCTATAAAACGGGTAATATTCAACCTAAAACGAAACAATTTGAGCTCTATTGGATGGGATTTACCTACCATTTTTCGTTACGATGGCTTTCTTAACTTAGGTTTAAGGTTTAAGGAGGAGTTTTCAGTTCATTAGAATAGAAAAGAGCAGAGCATACCAATTTAAGTTCAAGGGGTATACAGTTGTCTCTGAGAATATGTGCAAAACGAATGGAGAGTGTAGTCACTGCTAACGACATATGAAAAAAACTGAAACTGTCCACTCTTACCCAGTGACAAAACTTTACGGGTCTGGGAAATATTCAAATGTCTAGGAGGGAGTCAATGCCATGGACACTTTGAGACAGACATACAGTTGGATGGAATGGTTGAAAGGATGGAAGGAAGGAAAAATGGTAAACAGGTGACATAGGGATGAATGGTTGACTGGTTAGGAGGAGGGTCAGTTGATTGTAAAGATGAGTTGGTCGAAGGATGAATAGATGATGGCCGATTGGAATGACGGGCGGGTAGGTGAAAGGAGTCAGAATGGTTGAGTAGAATGATCAAGCAGGTAGTTTGAGAGAAAATTGGTTTTGTCTAAGTGAAACAAAATTTGAATAGATAAAAAGGTATACGAACCTTGCTAGTCAACAAGCATTGAATACGGTCCTCCACAGTGAAGACAAGCGAATGTCAGAGGTAAGGAACGCCAATCGTGCAGTTTTTACCCACCTTGCGTTCCTGCACATCCTGCTGTTGTTTGCTCGCAAACTCTGCATTCGTACGACCCATTACGGGACGAAACATGCGTGGACGGATGTCTGTAGTCAATGGGAATCACTTTGGAACGGATTAATAGACATCTTGGATAGACGAATTTGGAACGGATGGAGAGCAGATGAACAAGTGTTTGATAGACTGTCTGGAGGCGATTAGATCTAGAATGAATAGATAGATTAATAATACCATGGGGGATGGAGAGACAGAGCAGGTTGCTCCATTTCAATAGGTTATGGGATCATAGATTCACAAGGTCCAGATTGGTGAAAAAATTACCTCACCGAGTTACCTGTAATGGAAGAAGGCATTGGGAAAGAGTGAATGGATAGACAGGATGGGGACAGGGGTGAGTGAATGGATGAGAATGGGATGTCGATTAATTGGCGCTCCCAGTATCCAGAACACTGAGAACCTCACCAGGTTGTTTGCGTACCACCTCTCCTCCCTTCATTTCGCCAATCCCTACTGGAGGAATCGAGTAGACACCGAACCACAGCACCTGACCCAATTTGCTCATCTGTAGACCGAAGGACTCTACGACAGCAGTGGCACTTCCATTGTGTGCCACTGCGTCCATTGCCGCCTCCACATAGCTCGGTAACGCGAGGGCATAGCGCCCGCGAAAGGCCTCTGTCGCCATGAGAACCCGTTTGAGGGCAGGATCAAGGACCAGACAGCTACGGTTAAGGAAAAACCCAATTATTCGCAGTAACTTTCACTAACAAAATGTCACAGAACCCTACAAAAACCGAGCTCATACTATGCCCGGACAACAAACGATAGGAACAGGAAAGAATTGGGGAGATTTATGAATTGATGTGCAAACGAATTGTAAGGAGCACTAATAATAGATAAATGTTTTGGTCACCTCTACGGCCGAGTTTATGTAGCTGGTGTTGCCGAGATTGACTGAAACTATGACACCTGGCCCATGAAGAGGTGTGAGGGTGCGATCAGCATCCTGCAGAGTAAGCCACTCGCCCACTCGCACGTTCGCTTCTACTTCCATCTCCATCACGCAGCGACCGTTCTTGCGCTGACGCTACATGTCAATTCCAAAGTAAGCAAGGTGCTGCGCC